ATTTAAAAAAATTACATGACAATGAAGAAGTGAACAAATTGTATTTTTGATTTAGAAGTTATGAATGTAATGAAATTTTCTTAATTATCGGATTCTATGTTCAATCAGATTATAACTTTCTAGTAAACTTTGTCAAAGAATGAGGTCCTGGCATTCTAATTTTCAAACGAAATTTTCACATGATTTGCTTAAGCTATTAGGATAGACATGGAAAGGAATGAACACTTCCTTCTGATGCTGAATATCGGTTTTCTATTGATGAATTTTCAGATTTTGTAAAAGAAATTGAGTAATTTTCCACACGTCAACTACGATAAAGCAAGAAGATATTTTTGAAAGCAAACTCATAAAAACATGTTGGAATTATGATGAAAACAAAATCATAAAAGTGTTTTCAAGCGAATATATCTGTTCAAGATTTTTTATTTAAGCTAAATGAAAGTGAATTCACAGATCTTTGAAAACTTATTTGATTCTATTCATCTCAACTCATGAGTTAGGAAGTTTTTCTTTCAATTTGACTCAATTCGATTTGAATCATGAATTAAATTGCTTAGTTTTTGAATTGAGTTGCACAGTTATGAATCGAACGTATAGTAACATGTAAAATATATACGATAAAAAAAAATCATTCTACTTGCACACTCACTGTGAGTCATTTTTATCATTGTGTTCTTAAATAGGTTTAAATGTGATTTTTTTACATGATTAAGATAAAAATTTGATAAAGTTATTTAAATATTTTTACTAATAATGTACTCTCTTAGCAAGAACTGAGGTGATTACAATACTCGGTAACTTGTAGATGAATGCAACAACGAGAACGAAGTCCTGCTATTTTCTAATGGAAAAAAACAAATATCTACTTCAAAGGAACACTGAATGCAACAAAAAAGTAGACAGCATTTTTCTAATCGTAAATTATTTCTTAATAGTTTTTGTAACGTTACCATCAGGAAATGCTGTATTAGGATAAATAACATTGCTAAAGGTATTCTCTTTTAAGTGTATACGGTTTGTCTGATTTCACTGATTTTAATGATCTTCGTTTGATACTCATTGAATTGATAAACTTTCTATCAATTGATTTCTTTTCTCGTTGATTTAAGCCATAAAATAGGTTAAATTTCGAGAATAGAAATTAAGCGATTCTGACTTATATTGGAGTTTTTCTTTAAACGATTAGCTATCGATCGATCACTTTATATTGTGCTACTATAATTTATCGTGATGCGACAAAACAAAATTTGGATTTTCTCTTACCCAATAATTAAGTAAAGTACTGAGCAGGCCTCGATATCAGATCACTTTTTGATGGTCCGACCCTGCTCAATTGAAAATGGTACTATTAAAAGTATATTTCTTTTACAAAAAGAATTTCTACAAGATGGCACTCCACGATCACTGCAATAATTTGTTAGAACTAATAAAAAGTGTATTATTTTAGTAATCACAAGTTGAGTAAAGTGGACAATTTTAATGCTTGAAAAAGGCTTGTTAGAGCGGTTCCTTTGTAGTTGACATGTAGAACTTCTGTCTTCTTTAGCCTCATTATACTAATACAATTATTTCTGCGTTTCAAATACAAATGTTTCCTATTTTTATTTTGAACTGAAAAGCCAAGATACGTTCGCGAATACATCAGCTTTTTATTTTTTTTAGTTATATTGTCAATTTTAGTATACGGTTAACACTTCTGTTTTATTCTACTTTAAAGATGAACTTCAATTGGTTTCAAAAGTTTAAAAAAAACGAGTTTTTATCGTATTCAACTAGTATCATTTTTATCAATGTTTTAGTTAGAAAAAAATCGATTAAAATCAGATTTTTTTCTATTTCCTTATGTGAGAAATCTTCCGTAAAAAAAAAGAAATAAAGTTCGAGCTGGACGGCCCATTTCAAGGTTTGGTGGGTAGCTAGGAAAATAACGAGATCTATAAGAATCCTACATGGAGAAATTCGAAGAACATTTCATGAGAATCTCTAAAATCTGATACATATCTGTTGATCGAAATCTTCATTACAATTGTGAGAATTATGTTCGAAAGTTGCAAAAAATCACCATGTCAAGTCATTGCCAAGCAATGCTAGTCGTTACAAGGATCCATTGTTGATCTTTGCATGATATTTTTCAAGCTTCCTATCTGTTTTAAGAGAAATTTTTGTTTACGTTAAAATTGCAAGATGTTAGCAGGATTGACTTTCGATTCTACTAAGGATTTTTAAAGAACTAGCAGACAAAGTAATGATTCTGTTACGAGAATCGAGTCAAGAGTCGTAACTCAGATCAGAGGAGAATGTTAACACGAGTAAAGAAAATTTTCTAAACAAATCAATACTGCTAAGTTTCGATTACGAGTCGGTTTCTAACTTTCCAAAATGAAGCACTTTTGCTTCCTTACAAGACAATACCAACCTACAATCAAAATCTTGATCCGAAATCGACTACAAGGACCTATTAGTTGAGACTTTTGCAAGTTTCTGTTTTGTAAGCTATTCAATAGATATAAATTCTTAAGGATCTTTACAAAAAACCGATTGTAGAGGAATCTTAATAGCAATAAATACGAAAATTTCTTTCTAAATTTTTATTTTATTCGATTTCGAATTTAACTAAATTTTGAAGTATAGGTGAATTTCATTCCGATCGAGGTTGAATTTGTGTATGATCAAACAGAAGAACTTCTGGCGAAATTCTAGAAGAAAATTGTTTTGTTTGTCTAGAATTTTGTAAAGATTTGTCATGATATTGACTTGAGCTATAGACCCGAACCAATAATTATTTTTATGATTATATCTTGAAAGAAACGTTGAAAAACTCTGTAATTCAAATATTACTTTCAATGTACATAGTGATTTTATCAATGTTTTTTTTTTGTTAAATAATTATTCTTGGTAACAGACAAATCATCTAGTAACACTTGTTCATCACTTCGATTTGCGTATGTAGAAAAAAACTTACAAGTAAATTTTTTCTTATGTTAATCGAACTGATGAAATTAATAAAAAATGTCATGGAATTTTATAAATTACATAAAACAGTAATAATTCAGTGGAAACTCAGTCTTTTCAATAAGAAACCTTCTTTCTTCAGAACTCGGTCGTACGCTCAGAAAAAAACTAGTGAATCCTCGCAGAATCCTTATTGGACTCCTCAAGGACCTAGCGTGGAAACATCAAAGATTCTTACCAGGAAATAATTGAGAGAAGGAGCACATAAATAATTGACTCCAAATAACAGCGATGCATGTATCTAGCTCTTGAAAAAAAAAAGAAACTAAAACGGAGAAAAAGATGCAACTTGATTATAGGATGCAATACAACGAACAAAAACAACATTATAACAGAAAATAATGTTGTAGTCAACAAGGTCAGGAACAAAAATAAACACTGAGAATTTGCGAATTATTTTTCAAAAATAATCAACAAGTGATGCTTTTCTGTAACATTCTGTAAAGTAGCGACTACAAAATCTAGTTGATTTTGTTAGACAATCGTTACAAGCATGGCAGTCTTTGGCGGAAAATATTTTTAAGACGCGTCATGACTGGTATCTAACAACAGTTTAATTTTTCGAACGAAACTATATGAGATAGCAAAATTGCTAATCAACCTGCAGAAAGCTTTGCACACAGGAGTAGTGCCAGTTGCATGCACGCAAGTAGTTTTCGAAGGCTTAAACCTTAATTCAAGGAAATTTTGATTCATTTTGGTCTTTGAAAAAAATCATGTGAATCCATAGTCACTAGTCTAAGCACTTTCGGCGTTAAAAGAATTAAAAAATCTTTTTTTTGTAATTCCGAAAAAAGAAAGATAAAATGAAGCGCAGTTTCCTGTTAATTATGTAAGATACTCCCGAATGGAAAATATTTTTTGTATCAGAAATAGCGAAAAAAAACCAGTAATCTAGTTGAGAAAAAATGCGAATGTGCCTTCTAATCTTGATCAGCTCAAAGCTTTTCTGTGTATGCCTCTTCTGCTCATTCATTTTTTCCATCGTATATCGTGGGATTCTTTTGGACAAAACCTTTTTGTAACAAGTCTCCTACCAGAGTTTCAAGTGAAGTGGGTCAGAGATAATATTTCGGAATGAATGAATTGATTTGAGATTTTCTTTTCAATCAATTGAAATGAATTAATCCTTTTTAATTTGCACTTGAAGAATCTAGCTATAATTGAGATCTTGACTAAATTTAATGGTAAAAATCAATTTTCATTCCTATTATGTAATGCCATATACTTCGAATATGTTGATATCTAATTGCAATTACAAGAAATCACAGCATTTATGACTAGGAAAAGAACATTTTAGTATTATTTCTTTTCTTTGGTCGACAAAAAAAGATACATGTAAAATAGTATGGGAACTATAATTATATAAATAGGAGTGTTATTCAATCAAAATTTATTGAAAATTATAAAAATAGATGAAGATTATGAGTTTAAAAGCAACATGTGTCAAACAATTCTGAGATAAGAGTTGGAATTAAAACAACAGTTTCTCGTTTTTAAATTGGAGAGACTGTAGGACATAAAATGTTAGGAAGTATAAAACTCAAGTAGATCTTGAATCAGCTTTTCTATGAGTAGGAAATTTGACTGTTCGTTTTTAGCGAGAGTAATATATAGCAATTTATCTGAACAAAGAATAACACTGTTAATTACATTTTACATTCCTTAATTTAAAACTTCATACCTGTAAGACTGTTTATAAAAAAATGTGGTTACTTTTAAGAACGGTTTGCTATACTATTGTATATTTTATAATAGATATTATAAATGTAAAAACAACACATGGAAAAATATGAATTTATAATTGTCAACGAACACATGTATGATCTTATGATAATCGAACGTGAGTGTGGAGGTATTAGATAGCTTCATACCTACATCTACATCAATCCTAAAGGATATATATTTCCTGTCCATGAATAAAAATTGAAATTTTTTTCAAAAATGAAGTAACTTCATACACACTAAATTTCAAGAAGGTACATGGTCTAAGGTTTTCCGTATGCTCTATGTGTCTGAGGAATAAGAGCTATTAGAATCACATGACTTGCATCACTACTTGTGAATCTCGTTATCAAGGCGATAATCAACGACATCCTACCTTTGTTTGGCGATGCTTTGATTTCCATGGTAGACATCTAAAGATACAAGATATTTGATGAATATCCATTTTCTAGAATGATTTTTTTCTGACTTGTTTCACGATGGAGCTGGTACCAACGTTAGTGGCACTGGCAGTGGCGGCTACTGCAGTTGTATCCTTCTACGAAGAAAACAGAGATAGATGTGACGCGAAGAAAAGTCACTCAGAAATTGTTTGAATTACTTGAGATTTGCTGGACTGTGTCTGTTTTTTTGCTTCGGTTGTTACAGCAGCAGTCGTTGTCGAGGCTTCTACAATTCAAAACAATTATTCATTTCTTGAGAGATTTTTGGTGGTATTATGGATGAAGTTCAATATACCATGTTTTTATTTAGTGACTTAATCAAAGTACAGATTGGTGCGAATATGAGTGTTTGAGATGAAGTGTCAAATCTTCTTTTCACTCTTACTCTAACTTCATCTAAATCCTTTAGAAGTTGTTCAAAAACAAGAGTATTTTTGTGGATTTCTAACTGTAGGAAAAATTTTCATTACGTCTACCCAATATCTACGGCTCTTTGGACCAATAGTATAGGAGAAGAAAACATCTCCTGAGAAAAATATTTCTAGTGATACTTATGGATCTAGAAAACAAATCAACTTGAATCACTTCTTTAGATTTCACACAAGAAATTAGATGTTAATAGATGAAGCAAAAAGTAAGTGGAACTGATCAGGATCTTAATTGGTTACTTAAACTATGTAAGACAAAGTCGATTGTTTTTGTTTTTGTTTTTGTTTAAAAAAGTTTGCAAAATCGAAAATTCCATTGAATCTAATCGAAGATTATTATGAAGAGTCTTTTTTCTGATCTTTTAAACTAACCCAATTTTATTTTTGGTTTGAGAATGGTTTTTAGATGGATAGTAAATCTAAATCGACTCTTTATGTTTATATTTTATCATACGTACGCTGATTGACGAATATAATTTTTGATTTTCTTCGAAGTATCGAAAGTGGGGATGTTGTGTATCAAGCGGAATGTTCTTTTTTCTTTATTTTCACTTACTTGAGGAAGTTGGACTGATCGGTTTTGGAATAACAACTGGTACTGGTTGTAACAGTGGAAATGGTGGACGAGTTTCTTCCAGTTGAACAATGTGAAGATTTCCTTGATTAAGACAACCCATTACTTGGAATTGAGTTGCAGCCATAAGAAGTACTTCATTTTCAGCTGGATAATACGAATGCTTACGAATATCTCTAGCTGATTGACATTGTAAGGTAAACATTGTTCTGTCACCTGCCGTTCCAAAAAATAGTTCTGATTCTAGAACATTAACGGCTGTTGTGCAAGATGAGAAACTCCACCAGACGATTGTTTTTCCTGCGATATATTTTTTGCTCAGATCTAATTTAACACCTCTGTATGCAGTTTTCAGAAGCGGTGGAAGACGAAACAACGCATTAAGAAAGAGTCTTATAAATAAGTACCATGGTTTAAGTTTTTGTTGTCGTTGTGATGATCGTAATGTATCATTCAAAACGAAGTATAGACATTCATCGAGTGGTTCCCATTTCATCGTGTATAGCATAATCGAGGCGGATTCATCTTGTGTCAATTCATCGGCAGGATTCTTACATCGTTGTTTGGCAATATATGCATGACTTTGAACAGCTGGTAGAATAGAAACAAGTGGTTCAACAGCTATTTCAAGTGGAACAAGTGGCATTTCTTCATAGCCACCAATGGGTGTGATAAATTCAAGCGGCTTCTGGACAATGTCTGTAATGCGTAAAATACGCTGTGCTGTTGCATCTTCTCCTCCTCCTCCTGTAGCCATATTCAGCAGAAAAAAAATTCTTCGCGAAATAATAAATGTCTGAAAGATAATAAACGACAATTTTTATAGTATTATATTGATCTTATATACAGTAATCGCCATAAGTGGGCGCGACCTTTTTTTCTTGTTCAACAATGACTTTTATTTTATTTTTTTACTTTGTATGAACGGACTAGTCACACTCATCATCCGATATAAATAAGAGCATTCATACTCATTCTGTACTCATTTTATGAGTTAATCAAAAAATGGACATTTCTGTAAAGAAAAGATGGGAAATCATCTTTTTATCGAGACATGAACATTGTCCACATATGTCAAATGTTGATATTTCACAATATTTACGAATCAGTGAGACAACTGTAAGATATTGGCTTGAAAGATACGAAACAACTGGTGATATAGAAATTATACAAAAATCTGGTCGTAAACGGTCTACAACAGAAAAACAAGATGATATAATTCAATCGATGGTAGCTCAACACCCAACCGAATCTGCACGTCAAATTGCATTCAGATTATCAAAGAAAGGTATAAAAATTAGTGAGACAACATTAAGAAGAAGATTTAAAGAAGCTGGTCTGCAATCAATGAAACCAACTTCCAAGCCATTGCTAACAGGTGACCATATTAAGAAAAGACTTCAATGGGCAATACAACACCAAGATATTGACTGGAATCAAGTTATATTTACAGATGAAAGTTCATTTCATATGAAACAAGTTATAAAACATGTATGGAAAAAACGTGGCGAAGAATATTATGTATCAACAGTGAAGCATCCTGTCAAAATTCACGTATGGGGTTGTTTTAGCAAACATGGATTCGGAAAACTGGTATTATTTAGAAAAACATTAAATTCAAATTTTATGTGTAAAATTTACAAGAATGGTCTTCTGCCATCAGCAAAAAAATGGTTTGGTGATAATCACTATAACTGGAAACTTTTAGAAGATAATGACCCAAAGCATACCTCAAAAATGAGTAAAACGTTCAAGGTCAATAATGAAATACAATCATTACCGTGGCCATCACAATCTCCCGACTGCAACCCAATCGAAAATGTTTGGGCTTTAATGAAGCTCAAAATAAACAGACAACCACCCACGTCAATCAATAATTTCTTTGGCAGAATAAAAAAAGAATGGAAAAATCTACCTGTCGAATTTGCTGAAAAATTAGTCGATTCCATGGAAAAAAGAGTACAGTTGTTAATTGAAAGAAAAGGCGACTATATTAATTATTAGGATGATGTACGTGTAGTGTAGATTTTGTAAATAAAATATGATAAAATAACTCCTTTGTCTTCCTCGTTTTTTCGGTCGCGCCCACTTATGGCGAATACTGTAAGTCTAGAGATCTACAATATGCGTAATTTTAGTTCCAGCACTAATGCGGAGATATCTCATCGTAGCGTTATCAAAGTAGGTTAAAATTTTTTATATTGAATTATGAATATGATAGAAATTTTTTCAATAGTGAATCCGCACTATTTCCTTATGTATCAATTCTTCATTATCTAATTTTATATCGATTTTCTTAATATAAATTTCACTAAAATATAACTGTTTCTTCTGAAACTTTTTTCAGAATTTGATGTCCTTTATATTTCACTTAATGAATAACGAGATTCACTGAAAACTTCTGACCCGTAACTTTTTTCTATTACATTTTTTTAGTAAAACTCATTGAACACTGATGGTATCAGTTTTGTAGATGTTAAGGCCCTTCTTCTGTCAAAAATCTATTTCGTCCCAGAACAACCGATCTGATTGGAAATTCCAGGATATACACGTGCAGACCTAAAAACCTTATAGTAAAAATTTCAGCCCGAAATATTGAGTTCTTCAAGAGTTATTTCTATATCAAGGATCCAAGAGTAGGTCTCCATGCAATCCAGATTTTCCTCCAAACTAAATGATACAGATCTCGGGTTTACATCGAAATGTATCTAACACTTAGCGCTGCAACTTAACAGAGTTCGATTTTTAAAATTTCTCTTTGTTAATTTTTAGTGTCAGTTTTTTTGAAAAGTTCGATAAAATAGGGATACTCCTGTGGAAAAAGATGCATTTTTCTCATGAGCTAAGTCAAAAATTAAAAATCCAGCTCTATTAAGTTGTGGAGTACAATTTCTTTCTTCAATTTAAAACCATTCCGAGTTTTGTATCATGTAAAACAGTTGAGAAATCTGAAATACACGAACAAAAAAACTCGTTTTGAGAAAAATGACAAACACAAAATTGAACTTTGAAAATCCAGTTTTTTCCTTCGTAGAGCGATTGACAAGAGATTACATTGAAGGAATGCATGAAACGCACCTGCTAGAGCATGCTGGATATGTATTCCAAATCAGAAGCCTATAGGCAAAGTCGTAGAGCTTCAAAAGATAAAATTTAACAGACATTTTCTGCTTGTGAGTTTTTTACAAAATCTCTTGGAAATCGTGAAAAAACCATTAGAAAACCTCTCGAAACCGTCGTAAAAACTAAGAATAATAGTGATTCCGAAAGTAGAAAATATGGGCTATTTGACCATGTAGAAAGTTCAAAAATCGATATTTTTGGCAAAAATTGAAATTTTTGATAGGGGCCTTTAAAAACAGTTGTATTCTCAAATAAGTGTAGAGAACAATGGATAAAAATAAATCTATAGATTTAGCTAAAAAAAAGCTTGTTCAAGCATTAATTTTATGGCAAATGATTTACTCGGAGTTGTTTATCTAATAAGAAAAGTTTGAGAGGTTTTGATACAAATTTGTCATCATGATTAATGAGTAGGGTAGTTTAGTGTTCCAACTAAAAACTCTTATCAGTACAATTGACAATACGATTATGTAATTAACATTAATTTCAATCAAATGAATATTGAATTCGAGTTGTTATGCATAAAACAACAAGAAATAAATATCGCGCCATATTTTTCGGAAAATGTCAGCTTGAACGTTACTTTTGATGCTTTACTATTTTCGTTTTCTTAAAAAAAACAGAGTAAGCCGACGAACTATGACATGTTTCTTACTCGAAATGTTTTTCTCATTGTTAAAAAGCTATCATTATTTATATATATTCGATCGAACGAAAGACAATTAAGAAAGAAGTCTTACTGTCCTTTTTGTTTCAAGAAAAAGATTTCAAAATCTCGTTAGACTATCTTCATTCTAAGAAATGTTCTCAAGTGATCGTTAATGATGAATGACGATAACAGAATATAAAACAGAGATGATCTTCTGTTAGCTTCATTGACGTTTCTATCCATTCATCTTTGCTAATTAACTGTCAAAAATGGATTTAAAGAATGTTTATTTTGCACAGCTACGCGTCAAACAATTCTTTCTAGTAGTTACACCTCTTCTGTTGCTCCCTGCGTTTTCTAGCCAATATATGAATAAAAAAAATTAACAATAGAATAAATTACAGTGTATTACGAGTCGACTAAAAAATGTTGTTTTGTAAAGAATAAAATACTTCTTCGTCTTTCCTCATGAAAACATATATCCATTAAATTTGATTAAAATTACCTAATTATATCACTATATTTAGAATCATAAATTTGATTATTCTGTAACAAAATCAAAATCGATTAGAAATGGGTTTTTTTGAGTAAATTATAGTCAGATGCAAATCGATTACCATACGAAAAAAAGTCTGATATTAATCGATTTTAATCTTGGCTTTACTTGATAGTCTCACGTGCGAAACGCTTCGCGTTATAAGAAATTTCTGAGATGAAACTTTATTCGTTCAATAGAACCTATTAAGACCAAATATAATCTAAAATCGTGACCTTCAGTCGTCTTTTTCGGGTTTAACCCAATTTACCAAGCTTTTAGCTTATATTGAGGAATCCAATCGAATAGAAAATTGCAATATAAGCTATACTAAACTGAGAAACCAATGAAATTCAACTGGAAACCTATTGAATGATAATTTGACTGACTTATTGAGCATGTGTCTTCGAGAAATTCTCAGTTGTTATGTTTTGCTCGGAACCACTTGCAGACAATATGATTATATACTACATCTGTCTTGTGACATCAAACCGCACTCTATTAATAGAAACTTGGTATATGTAATTAGGCTAAACGTAAAAACATATTCAATTCGACAGAATTTAGCAGAAAACAATCTGTATTCTTAAGAGACGGTCCATGAGTGAATCGAGCATTTTCGTAAGGGGGCGT